TTGAACTGCCAGCCTCCTGGTTAGCAGTCAAGTGCCTTAAGTACTATGCTACCAGAGCTCCCTTTAGTTGAGTAGCTAGGTTATAATGAAGTTCAAAAAGTATTCTTAGTAATACTCATGGCAAAGCATTATTTTTTAGGAATTTCATTCTTAGTAAATTCCTTCCAGAACTTCATCTTCACTTTTGCAGAGTTAGCACCCCAATTTAGAGGTGGACCTCAAAGGAAATACTAAAAGTCAAATTCTCCTCCATCAACATCTAACACATGTGGTAGTTATGTTTGTGTGTCAGCTTGGCTGGGCCTGGTTGAGTGGCTGGGCAGCTGGATGTAGTAGTATTCTCTGTGATGAGACTGGTAATCAACTCCATGATGGAATCTACTGTGAGAAGCTGAGTAGCTGCCTTTGGATATGTGGTCTGCTTCCTGTATATAGAGAAGCCTTGGGGAATGGTCTGTAGCTTATGGCATGCTGGAACCATGCATGTAGCCATGCCATTGTTCAGCAGCCTGCCATGCTCTGCTGACCTTGGGACTTCCAATGAACTTGAATGAATGACCTGCCATATGGTTTGATAACATCAAGATTGTACCATTTTACTTACCAACCATGGACTTGTCAGCCTCAGCAGCCAGCAGCTGTCTGAGTAAAGAAAAGCCTCTAGATCCAGTAGCCCAGGAGCTGGAGGCAGAGCTGAAGTACAAGGCTGAAGGGCTGGCACTTTGAACTCAGACTTAAAGCCTCCAAATTGTAAGAGAATAAATTCCTGTTTGTTTAGCCATCCCATGTCTGGTATATTCTTGTCAGAGAAGCACTAGGTAACCAGAACAACATATTATCAAAGATTTTGCTTTATGCTGTTTGGGACATAGTATTTTCTTTTGCCATGTGTTTGGTCATCTTTGAGTTAAGATAACAGTGTCACTTTAGGAACTGTTTGAAAAGGAAGTTTGATAATTTGATAATTCTTGAGAAAGGATTTGGTTTTGTTTTGGTGTTTTAAATGTACTTTGTCATGCAAGACCTTTTTCTTTTATTTTGATACCACAATTAAAAAAAAAAAGATTTATTCCCAAGTATTTAATCTTTTTGGTAACCGTTGTAAATGGTATTGATTTCCTTATTTTCTTTGCAGGGAGCTCCTTGCTGGTGTAGAGGAATCCAACTGAGTTTTGTGTGTTAATCTTGTATCCTGCCACTATGCTAGATCTCTCAATTAGTTCTAGTAGTTTTTTTGCTGAGTGTCTTGAATGTTCTATGTATAGGATCATATCATCTGCAAAAAGGGATAGTTTTGCTTCTTCCTTACCAATTTGGATGCCTTTTATTTAGAGTTCTTGTCCTATTGCCTCGGCTAGGACTTCCAATGCAATGTTGAATAGAAGTGGAGATAGAGGGCATCCTTGTCTGGTTCCTGTTCACTAGTGGAATAGTTTCAGAGTCTCTCCATAGACCATAATGTTAGCTGTTGCTTTTGCATATATGCCCTTTATTATGTTGAGGAATTTCCCTTCTATTACCATTTTTCTGAGAGTTTTGATCAGGAGTGGCTGTTGGATTTTATCAAATGCCTTTTCTGTATTGATTGATATGATTATGTGGTTCTTTTCCTTTATTTACATGATGGATTATACTGATTGTTTTTCTAATATTGAACCATCCTTGCATAACTGGTATGAATCCCACTTGGTCATGATGTTGTTGGAGTCTGTTGACTGGGACTTTGTTGAAGATGTTTGCATCTATATTCATGAAGGATATTATTCTGTAGTTTATCTTCTTAGTGGTGTCTTTGCCTGGTTTTGATATCAGGGTTATGCTTGCTTCATAAAATGAATTTGAGAGGATTCCATCCTTTCTATGTTCCAGAGTAGTTTAAGTAGGATTGGCATCAGCCCTTCTCTGAATGTGTGGTAGAATTCTCCAGTGAAACCATTTGAGCCAGGACTTTTTTTGTTGGTAATTTTCTGATGACCTGTTCAATTTTTTCTTTTGTTATGAGTCTGTTCAATTTTTCTACCTCAGTCTGTGTTAGTTTAGGTAAGTAGTATGTTTCTAGAAATCTGCCCATTTCTTCTAGGTTTGAAATTTGTTGGAAGATAGTTCTTCATAGTATCCTGATATTATCCTTTTTATTACAGTTGCTTCTGCTGTGAAGTCACCCATTTCATTTCTTGTTCATGTTATTTGCATCTTCTCCTCCTTTTCCTTTGTTAAGTTGGCCAGTGGTTTGTTGATTTTCTTAATCTTTTCAAAGAACCAACTTTCAGTCTTGTTGATTTTTTCAACTGTGTTTCTATTTTCTGCTTCATTTATTTCTGCTTGAATCTTTATTATTTCTTTTCTTCTGGTGACTGTGTAGCCTATTTTTTGCTGCTCTTTTTCTAATAATTGGAGATGTTGAGCTAAAGTGTTGATTTTGGCTCTTTCTTCTTTTTGATGTGTGCATTTATTGCTATAATTTGGCCTTGGATCACTGCTTTTGCTGAAACCCAAAGATTTTGATATGTTGTGCTTCCATTTTTAGTTGATTCAAGGAACTTTTTAATTTCCTTCTCTACTTCTTCTATCACCCAGTAGTTTTTAAGGAAAGTGTCATTCAGTTTCCATGAGTTTGCTTTTCTCTATTGATTTTTCCCATTGCTGATTTCTCATTTGATAGCATTGTGATCTGAGAAGATGCTTTGCAGTATTTCAGTGTTTTTAATTTTATTGAGGCTTGCTTTGTGGCCTAGCATATAATCTATCTGGAGAATGTTCCATGTGTGCTGGTAAAGAATGTATATTGTACTGTTGTTGGATGAAGTGTTCTTTAGATGTCTATAAGATCAAGTTGGTGGATTATATTGTTTAGTTCTTCTGTGTCATTGCTGCACTTCTTTCTAGTTGTTCTGTCTTTCATTGAAAGTATTGTATCAAAGTCTCCTACTATTACTGTGGAGTCATCTATTTGTCTTTTCAATTCTGTTAAAGTCTGGTATATGTATTTTGGGGCTCTTTCACTGACTGCATAGGTATTTATTATGGTTATGTGTTCTTGTTCAATCAACCCTTCCTTTTCTCTTATGGTCATTTTTGTCTTAAAGTCTATTTTATCAGAAATTAATATTGCCACTCCTGCTCTTTTTTTATTGCAATTTGCTTGATATATCTTTTTCCCACCTTTGCCTTTTAGTCTATTTTTGTCTTTGTGTCGAGGGTGAGTCTCTTGTAGAGAGCATATATTGATGGGTCATATTTTCTTATCTAGTCTGCAACCCTCTGTCTCTTGAGTGGTGCATTTAATCCATTTATATTCAGTGTAATTATTGACAAGTGTGAGTTTATTGCTTTCATTTTATTGTGTGTTTTTTTGTTTTTGTTTTTGCAGTATTGCTGACTTTTTTGTTCCATATAATTTTCTGTGTTGAGCTCATTTTGTTTGTGAATTATGTTACCATTTCCTTCATTGCTATTGTTTTAGTATTTGCTAAAATATTTGTGCTCAGCAAGCAGAGCCAATTCTTAGGTTGTTGTCTGGATTGGAACTCCACTTGTAAATATTGAAAGTGGATGTGATGTCAGGACAGCCATCAGTCTGCAGCTCTGTTTGTCTCCTTACTCACTGTTTGCATTCAGGTTCTGCTTCTAGTTGGTACTTAATCCACTTCTCCATCCTTCCTTTCAAGGTTCAGGGTTCCAGGATTATTTTCTGTATCTGTTTCAATTAGTTTCTCATTTCTTTGTTGTGGAGGGTTTGTGGAGCTTGTCTGCTTATTCTGCCAATTTGTCAGAAGTCCCGTGACTTAAATTATTAACTAAGAAAAACAAATACTCTTTGCATAAGTTGTGTCCATGGTTGAAGATAAGGGCTTTTCCTTTCAAAGGATTCAGGAGGGGCCTTGTAGTCAGGACATTAACTGTTACTTACACCAAATTATTGCTACTGACATAGTCCTTGCTGGGTTTTAACCTTCATGTTCATGTTTTATGCAGGGCTGATTTCAGGTCTGGTTCCAATGTACATTGGTGAGGTTGCTCCAACCAAATTCAGGGGCGCTCTGGGTGCTCTTCACCAGCTGGCCATCGTCATGGGTATTCTTGTTAGTCAGGTAACAACTTGTCATCTTCAACTTCACCCATCCTCTCCCCCTCTGGCTGCCTGAATTTACTGTAGACTACCACAGAGGAAAGAAAATAATTCCACCAAAGGTAATAGAGGTGGTGTAGAGACATAGGCTTATTGGCTGAAAGCTAAATTATTACCACTCCTTACTTTTCCCCTTTGGTATGATTGGCACTGGAGGTGACCTGGCAAGCCTCTAACCAGACTTGAATTTCCAGAGCCATTCTAGAATTAAATTATTCCATTTGGATTTCAAGGTGTAGAATATTTCTTGAACATTCACTGATAACTTGTTTTCTTCAGTGTCTTACCTGGAAATCTAATACATAAATGACTACCACAATAGCTCTTGTTCAATGGGAATGGGGGCTAGCAGCCTGGCTCTATCTTTCCTTTTAACCCTGTGATCTCAGAGGGATCCTTGGAACCCCACCTCTAGGGATATTCAGAAAGTAGTCTGTCACAAGCCTGATTCTCATCACAGTAAATAGTTTATGTATAAAGCCCTACTCTATTTATCTAAGAAGGAATTTATAAGCAAAGTTTAAACTTAAACTTATTCATGATTTAACACAATATTATTCCATCTGGTTGCTTGGAGACTACAGTTGTCTGTTGCTTTAGATATCAAATGTGTTCTTGAAGGTTTGGTTGATTCCTATATTAAATGTCACATTAGTGTAAATGAAAACAAACATGGTGAATTTTTAGTAAAAACAAATAGTCCCTAATTTAGTTAAGGTAAAACACCCTAGCAAAAGCTTCTATCTTGTGAATATTTGAACAAAAGTTAGACCAAAGGAATACAAACAGCCAATGTGCTTCTTCAACAAGTTGTTGCAGAAAGCAGTCTCAAAGTGTTGGGCTTTTGATATGCTTCCTACCTGCCTTTGCAGATTGTTGGCCTTGACTTTATTTTGGGCAATCCTGATCTGTGGCACATAATGCTTGGCCTGTCTGCTGGGCGAGCCTTATTCCAGTCTGTGCTGCTCTTCTTCTGTCCAGAAAGCCCCAGGTACCTTTACATCAAGTTGGATGAGGAAGTCAAAGCAAAGAAAAGTAAGGCTGTGGGTTGTTTTTCTTTTTTCTTATTGTTTTGTAATGATCAGCTAATGCAAAACCATGTGCATGAATGGTTGCTTATGAAATGGGTACCCATGATTTCCAAATAAAGCCAGTGATTATATGTAAGAAGATTGTCCAAAATCATTTTAATATGATCAGTGCATGCCATTTTGCACCCATAAGTACTCAGTCCAACCCAAACCAGAAACTCACATGAAGGGTATTGGACTCAATCAGAAACTTCTTAAGCATTATGCTCTATGTTTATAAGGATCATAGTTTTCTTTGTCATGAGACGAAGTCATATGTTCTGCTTCTTTTTTGAAATAAAAGATCAGTATTTAATTTAACAAAAAATAATTTCTAACACCCATGCTATGAAATGATAAAAAGATTCATGCGAAACTGTACCTCTTCCACTGACATAATAAAAATAAAAATCTTTTTGTTTTGCCATGAGTTGATTAAACCTGATCGTTTTGGGGAACAGGCTTGAAAAGACTCAGAGGATGTAGTGATGTCACCAAAGACATGACTGAGATAAGAAAAGAAAAAGAAGAAGCATTAAATGAGGAGAAAGTCACCATATTTCAGCTCTTCACCAATTCTAGCTATCGACAACCCACTCTAGTAGGATTGGTGTTACATATGGCCCAGCAATTTTCTGGAATTAATGGGGTAAGTTCAAGAATACTCCCTAACTTTTTAGAGCAAAGTGAAATTAAAGTAGAGAGGGAGAGGGGTATAAGTTTAAATAACTAAAAGACATCTTAAAATGTTGGTACCATGTATATTACTATAAAAAAACAAAATGAAACGAAAAAACACATATTGAGTTAGTATTAATTTCCTTTTGCCTCAACAAAATTCTTAATTCTTTATTACCAATGGTATTATATGTCCATTAAGATGAAAGTAAAAAGGCAAGCATCATAATAAATACAAAAGAGGGAAAAGGAGAATAGTTATACCAAAAGAACTAATTGTGAGGAATTTCTAGAGCTGAGTATAAAATTTAGAAATTCTGATAGCCTGGGCAAAAGGGATTCTGTGATTCCCTCTATCTGCTTAAAGGAGGTATACCAACTAGCCAGGTGCAAAGCCCCACTTCTGGCCATCCAAGAAAATTTTATTCTATTTGGTGGGAGAACACTCAAAATCTACAACAGTTCAAAATGGCAACACGATGGTGAGGAAGCATAGACAAGACATAATTGACAAACATACTGAGTATTAAAGTAGCCAGACTTTTAGATATGAATTGAAATACCTGAACTATACAGATCAAAAGGGTCCTACTGACAAGTAGCTTCTAGAAGAAAAATTTAAGCGTTTGTTAAAAAACTAGGCCAAGAAAATCACTTAGCTTCTTTAATTGTTGTTGAAAATGTAGATTGGTCTTCTGCTATAGTGTATTGTCCCACAAGATAGGGACAGTTTGGGGTAACTCACAGATGGGCAGAGACTTGGGGAAAGCAAAGTAATTCCCATTCATCGAAGGAAAAGGAGATCTGAACTTCTGTCCATGAACTGAATACTACTTTGCTGTGTTCCCCATCTCCCCTAATGTTCATTTTTATCTATTATTCTGTATAACTTGGGGGTTCAGAGATTGGTATCCTGTCTCAGATCTGCCTGTATATCCAATACCATGATATTTAATCTCTCTAATCTCTCTGCTTCAGCTTCCAGCCCAAAGCCTGACTTCGAGAGGCATCTAGGAATTGTTGAACTTAAAGTTGTTGGCAATCTAAAAATGTGTGCAGTGTACTGTAAACCACTACTCACTGAACATAGTATACATAATCCTTCTGCATCAGCCCCCTCTGCAGAAAGTGGTGCCAGCAACAGGACATGGTATATGAGGAAGGAATGACAGAGGATGATATAATGAGAGATGACTTAAAAGACTATTATAAATATAACTAAATAAGAAGAGGCTATTAGGGAAGCTGTGAACCAATTTTCTCCATTTCCACTGAGAGTAGTGGGAATTTTTGGATTAAATGTAATAGCAACCAGAACTCTTACATATATTGGTGAGAGTGTAAAACAGATACAACTTCTAGAAAAACTAATTGGCACTATCTGGCCCAGTAATTCTATTCTATAATGTGTACATATTTCACAAAAATAATTGTACTAAAATGTTCATAACGACACTGTTTATAATTTCTCTAGATGGTAGATTGTTAAATGCCCATTAATAGTAAAATGGGTAAATATTTTTTATTGTGGTGTATTAAATACAATAAAATTCTATATAGCAATGATAATGAGCAGTCTACAAATACAAAAATAATGAGGGTTATTATCACAAAAGTAATGTTGAATTAAGATGCCAGGCACAAAATAATATAGTATGGGGTTGCATTTATAGGAAGTACAAGATCAGGCAATATTCATCTATCACATTAGAAGTTGGGAAAGTGGTTTCCTTAAGATGATAGGTGGGGAAGCATATAGGGGGTATTTGGAGGACTAGAAATGATCTATTTCTGATCTGGGTGCTGTTTTCAGTTTGTTAAAAATTAATTGAGCTGTACATTTAGGATATGTGTACATTTTTGCAGGTATGTTATACTTCCACAAAAAGTAAAAATAAATTTTAAAAGTTTTAAAAATGTAGTAGCAGAGTTTTCAGCTAAATATAAGGAGGACATTTAAGCAATCAGACACTATTAAACATTAACGGAAGACTGTCGAGTCTCCTTTCCTGGAGGGAGAAGGTGGACAAAATAGGAAGTCCTAAGGACCATGGTCCATTGAAACAGCTAAAAAATAAACAGCATAAAATATTTCTTACTTTAAAGCCATCATTTCTATGTTCCTTGCTTAAGCTGCACCTGTTTTCATTTTTCAGATCTTTTACTACTCAACCAGCATTTTTCAGTCAGCTGGAATCAGCCAACCTGTTTATGCAACCATTGGAGTTGGTGTTGTCAATACACTATTCACTGCTCTCTCTGTAAGTAAATACCCTCTGTAAGTAAACACCCTAGACAAATTCTCCGCTTGCTCCTCAGTCCAGGAACAAGGAAAAAATCTTGTCATCTAAAGAGTGATCAATAACTTATTGTCCACATGATCTGGACATTTGAGTCATGGGAAAAGTCCTGTTGGAATAAGTCAACAACTGCATTGAGATTAGGCATAACTGAGAAGGTGGGTCACTGGTTCTCTCCATCTTCTAGGATCCCATTTAGTCATTCGTTTGTGGATTGAGAACTCTCTTGGGGGCAAAGAGGACTTTCTTCTTATACAAATCCCTGGTTTTCTTCTTCACTTTGGACTTATGCCCTTTGGAATTAGTCAATAGCTTGTCATTTCTATTCATATTGGCACTTCTACTTAGGTTCCTCTTCTTCCATGACTGAAATTCGTTTTTCATTTGTGATACCTTTGAAGAAACTTTTTTTTCTTCAGTTTAATGGGATTTTTACTGAGATAACCCAAGGAAAATAAACAAAGTCCTCTCTAATAAACCTCTAAGCAAAATAAAACAGACTTAGCAAATTCCAGAAATGTTAGGACAATGGGCAGAGCTTCAGGTAGCTCAAAGGGCCTGGTTTCTGGTAATGCATAGGATTATGTATAATTTTATAAGAGGATGGAGCTAGAAGTGGTATAGAACACCAGCCCTTCCTCAGAAGGAAGATTGGGCAATCTACTTTGTAGAGATACTGCCTCAGAAATCCAAAAAGGGGTCACTATGAGTTGAATAGAATTTATGGCAGTAAATTTGGGTTTTTTTGTTTCTTTCCACGAAGGGAAAAAGATCAAATTAAGACCAACTTCCTTATACTGTGTAAGGAATGATTTAATGTCTTGACAACGAAAACCAAACCCAACCCACTGCCATCTAGTCAATTCTGACTCATAGCAACTCTATAGGAAAGAGAAGAACTTCCCCATAGGATTTCCAAGGCTGTAAATCTTTCTGGAACAACTGGTGGGTTCCAACTGCTATATTCTGGTCAGCAGCCATATGCTTCAACTGCTGTGCCACCAGTGCTCCTGTATCTTATCAATAACAATATTTAATGTATCAGTATAAGCATTAAAATAAATTTTAAAAAAACCCTAGACATTTCCCAACTAATATAATTCATTCTAAAATGAAGATAATTGGACTTATTTTTACTTTGAATGCAGAATGTTCAGAAAGCATGTGCTTTTAACTTTTTGTCAAAATATTTTGTCACTCAATATTTTTTAGTTACTTGTTTTTCATTTTCTGCACATGGACTTTTAACTGTTACTTAGGGTGGTCAATAAATTACAGCCCGGCTACCTAGATCAAAAGGCAGGTTTGTCCAGACCACATTAAACAGTATTGGACCTTGGAAAGAGGGAGGACAGATAACAATGAACTCTCATGGTTCTGCAAGCAAGGCTTTAGAGGTAATGGCTAAAGGCCACTCTAAATCAATGAAGGGCTGTAACAGGGATGCAATCCAAGGGACTGTTCACATCATACCCTTTTATCTTGTGGTATAATATTTTTTACAAATCCTACCACCTGTTCAACACACTTTTCTGGCATAGAGATTATTATCAAAACAATTTATGTGAAATAGTATTTGATATATAAAGCACCAAGTTATCAAGATAAGAGAACCCAAATTCTGAAAAAAAACCTAAATAGGACACTTCTGCATAATTTCATTTTTGCCTTTCCCCTCTACCCCAGTAGAAGAGGGAGAACCATTTTATTTAAAACTTGATTGTTTTAAATATATCTCTTTATGTGAAAGTTTTAGAGCAAAAGAGTGGTGTAATGAAAAAATAAAGTCAGCTCTAATCATTTCTCTAATTAATCATACAGGTCTACAGACAACATTTAAATTTTTAAATTATACTGTTTTTGAAAAGTTATTTTAAGGTTCAAAAAGGACAACAGTTCCCTTCCCAAAGCTAACCAATGGTACCAAATTCCATGTATCCTTTCAAATAAATATATGCAAATAGAAATACAATTACCAAAGACCAGACTTTGTTGAATAGACCCTTAGCCTGCTTGTTGAAATACTGCCAAGGCGGGTGAGTCACAAAAAGAACTACTTGTCATCATTTCTCTCCTTGGTCAGTCTATTTGCTAGACTCATCATCTATCAGTAAGTCAGCAACAATCCAATTATACTGATAACAGATTGATGTTTTACCAAATTGGTAGGAACATAATCAATCTGTGTTTTCTGAATGAGTATTTAGAAAAAGACAGAAACTTTCCCAAGGCCAGGCTTAATAATGTTCCCCACGTCATATTTTCTTCTATACTCATGGGTCAGTGCAAGAGAGCCTATAATCTTTAAAGTGAAACAAAGCAGACAGAATATGGTGGGAGATGGGAGGAAGGATGGGTCTAGAGGAGACGTCAAAAACAAAATGAAACTCACTGCCCTCGAGTCGGATCTGACTCATAGTGACCCCTCCTTGGCTTTCCAAGGAGGTATATCTACGGAAGTAGATTGCCCAATCTTCCTTCTGAGGAGTGGCTGGTGGGTTTGAACCGCCAGCCTTCTGGTTAGCAGTCAAATGCCTTAGGCACTAACTACCAGAGCCTAGAGGAAAAGCAGCAGTGACCAAAATCCAGGATCTGAGAGCATACATTGTCTGAGGGTTAGGATTGGGAAGACATCTCCAGCCACTGATGAGTGCCATGTCTCACCCCCTGTCACATTCATCCATGCTTCAAGGAGAGCCTGATTCAGTTTACAAGACATGTGTAGTGTCAGAGTTTATTTTGAAAAGAAAAATCCTTCCAATTACTAGCAGAAAATAGTTTTTCAGAAACAAAAGGAAAAGAAAGTACATATCTTTGTTCTTGAAAAAATGCTTCCATTGTTTTGGCAGCTTGACATGATGTCATTAAGTCAACTTTGAAAGTCATAATTAAAGAGAGAAAATAGTCATGGAAATTTTGCAAACTTGAGAAAGTTTTTTTTTTTTCTTTCTCTCTCTCTCTCACTCCATCCTCAACAATTAAATGTGGGCTCTTATTATCACCCTATCTGAAATAATTTGCAACTCTTGATATGTTCTCTGAAATGGAAGGGGCTTTGATTGTAGGTGAAAAGAAATGTTTTTCATATTTTCAAAGCCAGAGCTTACTCTACTAAGGGCATTGGATTGCTACTGACTTACAGATTGTTGATGAATCTAGCAAATTTACTCACCAAGGGGAGAAATGATGACAGGCAGTTCTTTTTGTGACTCATCAGCTTTGGCAGTACTCCAACAAGAAAGCTAAGGGTCTATTCAACAAACTCTGGTCTTGGCTAATTGTAAATCTTAACCATTAATGCAAATGTCCACAGACCCAAAGGACTCAATGACACATCTCCCAACTTAGGTTAAGAAAGCACTTTAACCCTTACATTTAAACTCTATTTTTTCATTTAAATTTTTTTTCAGGTATGTTTAGCTGCACCAGAAATGTGTAGTCCTCACTTTTTTGGTAAAACAATTACATTGAGCATGTTGTCAAGTGAGAGGTCATGATTTGCCTTTGTTGGTAGTAAGAATATTGGATGAAAATAGTTGATACCTAATTGATTGTACTCTTTCAGGGGTCTGTAGTGAGTAAAACTTTGTAATTACAACTTAGGATAATTATCAGAAGAGAAATAAATGTAATTTTTACATAGAAACTTCACAGTTTAATTATACAGGAACTCAGTTGGGAGAGATCCAAGGTGGACAGTCTCTGGATTTTGTACCCAAGATGATAATCCTAGAGTGTTGAACAGCTATGATTTTGTCTCTAAAATGGCCAAACTGAATCAATGTGGTTTAGTTAAGCAGGTGTTTGTTGATTACCTTTGTTCACTGAGACCAGCTCTGTCACTTTGGGCAAGCATCACTCCTCCCTCATTTTCCCATCTATAAAAGGGAAAAATAGAACTGCCTTCTTGGAGCTGTATAAAAGAAAATAAACTCTTTGGAAGTAAAAACTAAATATGGAATCAATATTTGCTGACCAATATAACTGAAAATTTAAAAAAAAAATCTTTCCTAGGTATTGTTAGTGGAGAAGGCAGGGAGGCGCTCTCTATTTCTAATTGGAATGATTGGGATGTTTTTCTGCGCCATCTGCATGTCAGTGGGACTTGTGTTACTGGTGAGTTTGATATCGGCACTGAGATTTTGGTTTACCAGATGATAGCACCTTTGTGCTGCAAGTTAAAATGCATTCTGTGTCAAAAACATTAGAAATTGACTAATAAAACAAAGCCAGGAGAACAGCATATAATACAAAGGAGAAATATCAAGAAAAGGGGAACAATTAGTTTTTTGGGTTTGAAGACTTAACATTAGCATATAAATTGTGATTGTTACCCAGGGACGTAGTATAACAACACAGTAGAACAGTAGGCTCTGGGTTCAATCCCAACTGACTCTGCTACTTGCTGCCTCTGTGACCTTGGGCAGGTACCTGAATCTCTCCAGAGCCCAGAGTCCTCATCCACTACTTCACAGGATGGTCATACCCTGTGATGCAACCCTGGTATGAGCAACAGCAAAGGTCATTGGACTCTTGCCTTGCTTCTTTCATAAGAAAAGAATGATTAAGAGTTATATAAAGCCCTAATCCAGAAGATTGTGATAAGGGAGCTCAAAAGATTGAAGTGTGATTCAGAACATAAACACATCAGAGAGTTGTGTCATTGCTGAACTCAGTGGGAGGCTACTTAGCTAAAGAAAGAAGCATTCCATTACCCCAGTTCCACTTTTCTTCTTTTTCCTCCCTCAGGATAAGTTGGCATGGATGAGTTACGTGAGCATGACAGCCATTTTCCTCTTTGTCAGTTTCTTTGAAATTGGTCCAGGCCCAATCCCCTGGTTCATGGTGGCTGAGTTTTTCAGTCAAGAGTCGCGTCCTGCTGCTTTAGCAGTGGCCGCATTCAGCAACTGGGGCTGCAATTTCATCATAGCTGTGTGTTTCCAGTACATTGTGGTAAGCAGCCTAATGTGCAAGTTTACTCAACAGAAGATAGGGTCAAAGAGCTGCTGATTGGAACTCTGTTATTTGCTCTCTCTTCAGGAATTCTGTGGACCTTATGTGTTTTTCCTCTTTGCTGGAGTGGTCCTGGTGTTTACAGTATTTACATTCTTTAAAGTTCCAGAAACCAAAGGAAAGTCCTTTGAAGAAATTGCAGCAGAATTTCGAAAGAAAAGTGATTCATCCCAAGTTCCCAAAGCTGCTGTAGAGATGGAATTCCTCGAACCTACCAACACTGCATGAAGACAACCTTCTTTTTGACATAAACAGAAACAACCAGGAAATTACATGTTTCCATGACAATTCTTTGAGAATTTTTCTCTCTACATCTTGAAGTATTATTTTATTTTTTAAAAGAGCTTTTATGGACTCTGATAGGAAATGTCATCAAATCTTACCAAAGAAAGGTTTTTTTTGTTTTGTTTTTTGTTTTTAAGTTAGAGAATATACCTTCAATGATGAGACTCTGGTTAAGTAAATGAAAAATCTAGTTCACTTTGTGACCTTAAAGGGCAAGTGCATTCAAATGGTCCTAGCCCTATTCTTCACAACAAGGTTCTCCTTAAACAGAAGAGGTTTCAGTGTATTTTATTATTTTTTTTATTAAGTTTATGATGAGAAACATGAAGATACAACTAATATTTAAATACTCAGATATGATCAAATTGGAATTTTCTTACAGATCTCATATGAAAAGAGATCGGGCTAGTGACAGTAAGATGCATGTTAATATTGGCAATTTATATACTTCTCTCAGTTTTTTCTTGTACATTAGAATTTGTATTTTGTTTAAAATTTATTTTTTTTGTGTATTTCCACGTGGAATGGTTTATTGAATATATTAAAATATGTTTATGAAGAAAAACTTACATTTTTGTCAACTTACCAAAATCTTTCAGCACTTGGCAAAAAGATTTTAGTTCCTTTGTTTGATGACAGATGGTTTTTGCAAAATTAAACACTAACAAGGTTTTCCTTGGCCATATATAACCTTGGTTATCAGTGAGCATTAACATCTATTATAAAACATGCTCATTTCTTGCTAGTTCAATCCCTTGAGCTATATTTTGGTTGGTTTTGCTTGTTAATTGAGCACAACCTGGTTTTTTGAACTGTGTTATAAAATACACTCAAGAAATGATGAGTCAGGCATTTTGCATATCTCCTCAAACCTAAATAAGTTAGGTCAGTTAAACTTAGAGAAATCTGAAGTAAAGGATTGCTCTGCTAAAAACATTTTATGACGTATTGTCTCAAAACAAGTTGAAAAAGTCAGGTTGGAGGATTCCGGGAGGGATAAGTGTGGGCTCCTGAAACTTCATAGATATTAATATGCTTCAAATGTTCAATTTCAGATATAAGAAAATCTCTAGTTTTTCCGGGAAAGACTGAAATGTCTTCTTGTGACATTTTCTTCCATGTCTCAGTGGTATATGGAAGCTATCTAACTATTGTATTGCTATTACTACTTTTATTGTGTACTACCTATGTGCCAGTCACTGTCAAGTGCTTTTGCCTGTGTCAGCCAATTGGAAATAAACAGATGACTTAACAGACTTTAGCTTACAGTCAGTTCTACAATTATAAACATATAGTTCTAGGCTGTTTTCCCCACGAAGCTGAACACCAAAGTAATTCTTTTTACATATGCTTTATTTAATATGAATTGAAGAAAAGCCTGCTTTAAAAAAAAATATTTCTTAGAAATAAAAAAAGAAAAAAAAAATTAAATACATTTTTTTTTTTTTAATTTTGCCAAAATTGTTTACCTTTACGTAATTTGGCAGTTCAAACAATATGAAATTATTTTTTTTCCACTTTGGCTGATTTTAATTTCCCTTGGGCCAATTTGGGATAATCTATTTTCACTTGCAATTTCAGGACACAGTCAAATTGAGCTTAAATAGTTCATTAGACCTCTGTGCTTAACAGTAAACCCTGGACAAAAATGTGAACAGAGGAGAAGGAAAGAAGCAACTTCTGTGCCTCTCTTGTCCTCTTCCCCAGGATGCTTATGGCCTTGGGGAAGACAAAGTTACAATGATAAAGGAATTTAGCATTGTTAGTTCTGGTGGCATAGTACCTAAAGCATATGACTGCTAACAAGAAGGCTGGTGGTTCAAACCCACCAGCCACTCCTCGCAAGGAAGACTGGGTGATCTACTTTTGTAGTGATACTGCCTAGGAAGCTCAAGGAGAGCTCGCTATGACTCAGATCCAACTTGATGACAGTGTGTTGCATTGCATTACGTTACAGATAAGTGTGACTTCATCAAACCACTATTCCTCATCTTATTTACTAAGAAAATGAAGTTGTAAAGACTTAAATGAAGAACCTCCAAAACCACCTAACTAATTATTTTGACTAACCCACAAATACTAGAAATTCAGACACTGAAGTTTTCTGCTTTGGGGAAAATTTAAGAACCTTCCATTATTTCCCTTCCACATTTTTTTCTGTGCAAAGATACAATTGAGTTGAAAGGAAATATTAAAGGGAAATAAGAAACAAGAAAGCATTACACAAGGACAAAAGAACTAGCTTGACATTAAAAACTCCTAGGTATGCAGTAGTATGTATCATAGTAAATAATAAAATTGGTACTATTAAGTAAATTTAATCCTAGGGAAATTAGGTGTGACTTTGAACTTTTAATTTTCATAGCAGTCCATCATTTTTGTGAAAGTGTTTTCATACCTTAATGTCCTTACAAATGTGATGTTTCTCCTAGCTTGTTCAAACTATGTGGGTTAGATTTCCTAGTCTGGTCTCTTACCTGCTAAAAGACCAGTTGACTCTGACTCAAGTTGAACCCATGTTGTTACGTGCATTATGCAATTTCTGTAACTTTCTCAAACCACATATGTACAAGGCAGTGTTATGTGTGCTTCTGTAGTATGTATAAGGTATTGTTATGTCTGCTTCTATAAATGCTCTTAAGCCACAGATACATAAGTCACCTATAAAGGGACTTAAAGTGAAAAATTTCTGAATTTGAAGTTACAAAAATGGAAGTACATGAGGCATGTAAAATATTTCATAAACAACCTCTATAAATTGGATCGACATCATTATATGGAGATATATAGTAAGGCCTCAACTCGATGGCAAATAACAACAACAACAACAATAGTAAGGCCTTGGGACATTAGGTCAATCATAAACAACTCCCTAATCTCTGACCTTGGTGAGAAGATGTAACAAACTAGTGTTTTGTTTTGTTTTGTTTTTAATGCATTTTATTGAAATATAATTTATGTACACTAAAATACACAAAACTAAAGTGACATGGGTCAATGCATTGTTTTTTTCTTTTTTTTTCAGTGTTCCCTTCCCTCCCCTCCCA